TAAACATGAAAAATAAGAAATAAAATACTTAACCAATGTTCTTCTTACTTGCTGTTGATTGTCAAAGAGAGTTAACCCTATCTTTTTATTATACTAATAATTTTTATTTAATTAAATAATGCACCAAAGAACATAGATTAATACCTTGGAAAAAGTAGACAATTTCTCATAACTCTCAGAACTTTACTGGCTTTCTAACTACATGACAAGAGCCGTTACAAATTCATCCAAGCTAATAGTTAACTTTCCCATGGGAACTGAGCTTGTACTCCAAGTGAAATTGACGCTTTCTGTTCAGAAGACGACATTATACAATACGTGATTTGATAGATGAAAACCTTGACTTTATATTGGTTATAAGTAATATATAATTAAACATAAGAGAGAACTATTAACAAATCCTGAAATAGAGGATACAACAGGTGGGCATGGAAGGAGGGGTCTGATTTTCGATTTGATATCTCTGTAACCAAACAAAATTGAAGGCTATAAAAGTTATGGTTTGTCTGCACAATGATGATTTTATAGTGAGTAACTTACGTTTAATTTTGTACAATTTGGAGGGGTGATGGATAAAATAGAGAGGATAAGATATCTAGAGAAATTGTGTCGTGTGTCACATTTGGGGAAATTCAGGATATTTTAAAATATTGCCTTATAGAATTAAGAACTTAAAACTTAAATACTATTAAAATATGGATTATTAGCTAAGATTTTATGCTATACTAATTGGTAAAACATAAACAAAAAGTAATTTAATAAAATTTTGAATGTCAGACACTAAAAGTTTGTGTCATGCACAGTAAAGGATACCTGTGGTGACCGGGTTAACGAATAATGAATGATAACTATTATCCTTATATTCCAGAAAATTAAAAAAATTGGTTTTTTAACTTGTATATATTTTTGGTGAATTCTGACTTTGTCTCATTTCTTATGTAAATTCCATAAATTGGTGACCTTATAAGTTGTAAATCATTTGGATAATGTGCAGCTCACATTATGCTATCAAATTACATTATGAACAAGATACATGTAAACATACCCCATGAAAAATTTTATTATATTATTATTTCTATTCATATAACCTAATCTTAACTGTCAAAAAAAGTTTCCCATTTTTACCTTTTATAATAATAAAATAATAAAGAATATACATGAAAAACAAGAAAAACGTATTTACTTGGGACTTTTTTTTTTTTGCTGTTGACTGTCGATGACATTTAACCCTACTTTTTATATTAATAGCAGTACTGCATTATATAATGTTTTACTTAACTAAATAATGCACCAAAGAACACATTATAACAACATGTAAAAAGCAGACAATATCCCATAACTATCACAATTTTTCTGGCTTTCTATCTATGCAAAAACAGGCCTTTAAAACTTCATCTTTGCTCGTCGATGAGTTTTCTGTTGGAATTGAGCTTGAACCGAAAGCAAAACTGATAATTTTCTTCACAGAAAACAATGTAATATAATACTTCATTTGATAGATGAAACCTTGTCTTTCTATTGGTTATAAAAACTATAGTAATGAAATGCAGAGAGAACTACCACTAATTTCTGAAAGAGAGGATGTGACAGGTGGGTGTGGCAAGAGAGGTCTGATTGTCTATTTCATGTCTCTGTAATTAAATAAGATTGAAGGCTATGAAAATCATGCTTTGCCTGAAGGAGGACAATATTATAATAAGTAATTTACATTAAATTTCGTACTTTTTGAATGGGTGATAAATAATTAGAAAAGAGGAGTGCCTAGGACCAAAGTCACAATTCTCACATTAGGGGAAATTCTAGACTTTTTTTCATATCGCCTTATAAAATTAAGAACGTAAAACTTGTATACTATTAAAATATGGATTATTAGCTATGTTTTTATGCTATATTTATTGGTATACCATGAAAGGAAGGTAGTTTAATTAAATTTTGAATGTGACTCATTAAAACCTGACATGTGCAGAAAAAGATGTCCATGGCAAGAGGATTAAATGTTTTAGCTTTTTCAATCAAAAACTTCTAAACACATCAAATAATTCCTTGAATTTTAGAAATATTCTATTTCTAGAACATGAACATTTTGTACATGTAGTAGTAGTAGTATTTCCTCACTTATTTCTCTTGTATTTCAAAATATCACACTGATATTTTCATTTAACACATATATTTTTCATAGTTAACATAAACTGGAGTTTATTTTCAACTGGATTATTTAATTGAGCTACCAAGGTTCTTGTCTGATATGCATTTTTATACAAAAACTCACCTGTTCTCATGACAATATTGGATTTTTCCTGACAATGGGTCATTGAGTTGTCGACTCTGGCTACGATCAATAGGATTAATAACCCGACCAATCACTTCTTCTAGACCAACATCCTCAAATACAACTGTTCCTGGAGGCAAACAATTTATGTTCACTGCTACCTCTTTGTTCTGGACAGAAAAAATATTTATTAGTTAAAAAAAAGGAATGTGATACATATAGATTTATTATTTCAAACTCTTAATTCACTTTTTCTTTCATAGGTTATTATAGTTGACATTAAAAAAATCTTCAAATGTTATGGTAGTTGAAGGTGAATTTAATGTTTTTTCTAGAATATTGGATGTTTCTGGAAATCATGCATATAAAATATAACTATGAATTGCAATAAAAAAACAAAATAAACAACAACTATACATTAGTGTACCATTATTATAAATTACATGATTTATATTTACTCACATTCCTTGTTTGTATACTGAACTCAACATCAGTTCCCAAGTCTAAGTTTCTAAAGTCTTTACATTCACTTGAATGGAAAAATATCTGTAAAATACAAAACCATGTGTACACATTTATCTGACTTCTTCAACTACTTAGTTATCCAAACACAAAATAAATTTCCCAGGTTCAAGATATATATCAAAGTTCTTCCTGGTATTAAAATATCACAATTACTTAAAATGTTACAAATCCACATAGACCACCATACAAGTTTAATTTAGATCAGCTACACTTATAAAAAGATATCTTAACTGTGAACAATTTTAATACAAGACTTGAAAGTTTATGCAACATATCTGAACATAAACATGCACAGGGTGATTGAGATCTTACGAGAAGTGTTATTTATAGATATTTTGTACACTTTTGGATGAGCAGTGATCCTAAGATCAAGAAACTGGTTCCATTTCCCATATTTTTTGTAACGTATTTGGCATGCACCAAGTAAATTTTGTATTAGAAGAATTGAAAAGCAAACACTAGTTCTTTATATAATTCACTTCTGGAATTACGATAGTTAATTTTTTTTTATCTGCATAAACCCACACACAAATATATTTATATATCTAGTGTGATTCCCTTACTATGATTTTTCTAATTCATGTTAATATTTCATTAACCCTCTTTATTGTTTTGTCGCTAACTTTGCATATATCTATGAAGTTGGGTAAGCTGTCAATAAACATTAAAAGTCATTTGTATACAGAAAATAAGATTTTTAATGAAGTAAATTTATTAAAAATGTGTCCATAAATATATGGAGTCAGAGTGTTGACTGCTCAGAATGCAAATTAATTTCCATGTTAAGATTAAAAATACTTTTCTTCACCTGAAAATTGTCAAATTTCATTTGCATAATCTCTAAAACCTCTTAAATAAATTTCATACGTTATTTTTCAATAAAATTATCTACATCTTATTTGTTATTTTCTCTACCCTAACACTATGCATTTGGTCAATTTGACTGGACTCGTAGCCACCATAAAAAAAAGAACTAAATCTAAACTACTTGATTTCTTTAGAATGAATGCAAATTCTAACAGAAAACTAAAACTCATAACAGTATACATATGTTTATACTAAAATTATATTGTTTTATTGCCCTTTAACCCATAAATAACTAATAATCCAACCAAACAAGTTGTAAAGTAGCTCAAGTTATCAAACTGAATTACATAACAAACAAGCTGTTCGCGAGTATATCTCATGAAAAATTCTATTATTACTTTTCATTATCTTACCTAATCTAACTTTAGTTAACCTAATCAGTTTCTAAGTTTTATATTTTAGTTACTTTTATAATAATAAGTATTGAATATACAAGGAAAACAAGAAATATGATACGTGTCATTTTTTTTGCTGTTGACTGTTGATAAAAGCTAAGCCTACTTTTTTTTTTTTTTTTTTTAATACTAATGGTACTAATACACTAAATAATTTTTATTTAACTAAATAATGCACCTAAAATCATAGAATAATAACAATCACAAAGCAAAAAAATGTCCTATGACTATCATAATTTACCTGGCTTTCTAACTATGTGATAATAGCCTTTAAAAGTTTAGCTAAGTTTGTCATTGTGAATACCACGAGTGAAATTTTCAAATTGTGGGTGAAATAGACGAGACTTGGTATAAGAAACAATATAATTTAATAGTCATTTGATAGGTTAAAACTTTGGCTTTCTATTGGATATAAATAATATAGTAGAAAACATAAGAGAGAACTACTGTGAAAGAGAGGATGTGACAGATGGGTGTGGTATGTGGGTTTGATTTCTAGTTTATGGCTCTGCTAACAAACAAGATTGAAGGCTATTAAAAGTTTGATTTGCCTTTGTAATATCTATATTATAATTTATGTTAAATCCCATATTTCTTAGAGAGGTGGTAAAATAAGATAGAGAAGAAGGAAAGACCTGGAGAACAAATGTCACAACTCTCATACTAGGGAAGATTGAAGATTTTTTTAATATTTCCTTATAAAACTAAGAACTTAAAACCTACATAATATTAAGATTTGATACAATAACTACATTTTGAGGTTACATTTATTCATATACAATAATAATAATGTAGTTTAGTTATATTTTGAATGTAAATCTCTTAAAAAATTATAAAATGTGCACTCTGACCTACTCGTAGCAAGAGGGTTAATCTAATGGTTAGGAGTGGGTCCATTTGGCCCTTGCTCATATGGAGAATGATTCACAGTTCAACAATATTTATGATAACTCTGAGCTTTCTTAATGTATCTTAATAAAAATTTGTAAGATTTTGTTAAAGATTACAAGTATTCCCTATAAAACTTATTTGTTTATTGCAGTCGTTTGTGAATAGTTCGATTGCAAGGTGATTTTCATGTTAAATATAACAATACTTTTCCAACTTAGTTTTCATATTTCATTTCCATAACCCTACAACCTCCAAAATATATATATGAAAAGTTTTTTAAAATAAATGTTTATATGTTATTTTTCACTTTCTCTACCATACTACTAACTGTAGCGATTATCATCAATGTATAGTATAATGAAATATTTAAAATTAAGACATATAAAAAATGTATACACCTTTCAATTTTTTGTTGAATAATCTTAAAAGATCTTTTGTTTATAATCTTAATTGGATGTCTATACATTTTCAAATATAGTTTATTTTTAATGTTTTATTTTTCTTTCCTGTCCTTTAGCATTATTACTTGTTGTGACACATGTCAATGGTCATCCCTGGTCAATATTATGGTATTGTAGGCAGAGACACTTTAGCTTTAAGCAGAATGTTGTTGTGTTAACTTACTGCACAAACCCTTGTGAAACAAGGAGTTGGGTTATATTTTAAAAAAATTAAACCTTTCAAATATGCATCTTAAAACATAAATAATACACAATTAACTAAAATATAAAACTAAAACCTAAATACAATTTAACCGTCTATCTAACTATCATATTTCTAGGTTAAAAACAATGCAAAGTGGTAGCGAGGACAAAAGGGTAAACAATTCTAAGAGTGGTTAGATTAGTTCCCTATGGAATTCTTTGCGCCAATTTTAAAATACCTATTGGGGGATTGTTTTTCAAAATGTGCTCTTTTTATTGCTTATAAACATCTAGCTCAAATAAGTGTAATTGGCTGAGAAATTGCAACTCTGTAGAAAGTGGGCATCGCTTCTGTCGAGAGACCCAAGAAATGTAACAATATTACGAATACTGATGTTTGTTTTGTAACCCTAGAATACTGATGATGGAATTATGATGGTTCCAAAATGTCTAATAAATGATTATGTTATTATTTTCATGTTTTGTTTTATCAATAATACTTGTAACTTTCAATATAGTGTGTATATCTTCACAAAATTTGGAAGTCCTTCATTTAACATTACAAGTCTTTCACACACACAAAATCAAATTTTTTAATGAAGTATTTTTAATACCCTACCCTATCTCTATATGGGATTGACCAATTTGACCGACCTCGTAACCACGCACAGACACGCACACACAAACTCTAAATTACCTTTTTTTTCTTTTGAGAATGACTTTAAATTGTAACATGAAACTACATTCGTTTATTCTAAGTAGCTTTCAGCTTGTAACATCTATTTATAATTAAATTTTTGTTTTATTGCCCTTTGAACTGTGTACAACTACTATTCACACCATTATAAGTTATAAATCACTTTGGGAACATGCAGCTCACGTTACACTGTCAAATTACATTACCCACGAGCTACTATGCACTGCTCGCATGTGTGCCTCCTGAAACATTTTTATTATATTATTATTAGTGTTATCATATATTTTGCCTAATATAATCTTAACTAACCTAAAAAGATCCCTAATTTTACAATTTAATTGCTTTTATAATAATAAATAAAGAATAAACATGAAAAACAAGACAAAGTACTTACCCAATCTCCTTTTTTTCTTGCTGTTGAGTGTCGATGACAGTTAACCATATTATGTAATGTTTTTATACATTAAAAGTGGTACCCTTTATTTATTGAAAAAATAAGTTTTTCAGAACTAAATGTTTTTGTACTATATTTACAAATGACATAATGAAACCCTCATTACAGTCCCAGTGAAAGTCATGTTCTTGTTATGAGGAGAGTACTTTTAATTAAAATTGTGTTCTGTGATAATGAAATGGTTGTTGCACATACCATAATTATTTTTCTAACTATCTGAATTTTGAATATCCAAAGTGTGAACATTTTTTTATGGATTTTTTGTTTGTGGTGCCATTCAATAGAAAGGTCTTATACTAGATACAGTGCAATGGGTGACTGCAAAACCTTATTCTTAAAAGCCAGCAAGCACTAGCTAGAGAAGCAGGCAGATGTACAATTTTGGTGCTGGCTTTTCCCATAATAGTCTGTGGAATGGGTACAGTCTTGCTCAGATTACTGAATGTTATATAGTATTATCACGAGTAAAACTCCAGTGATCTTGTGGAACACCCCATGTCACAGTTGGCACCGATTGAGCCAGAGTTGATGGTTATGAGCACTTTCTGTTATCCCAACTCAATGCAGATTTTTGGGAGGCAACACTAGCCACCTAATGAGATACAAAAATAGAAAGAAATTAACTTCAAGGCTGGATTTCCAGGAAAGGGAGGGAGAGGGGCATTAAGAAATTAGGTAGGAAACTGTCAGATACAAAGAACATAGCATAATAGTGCAAAGACGAATCTATTCTAGAAAGGATGGAACATGTATGAAAATACCATGAGAGGGTGGAAAAAACCTAGAAATCATGATTGGATGGGTTTCGCAAAACAGATTGGGGTAAGGAAAAAGAATGGTATATACTTGAGTAATAAATTCTTAAAAAACTTGAAGAGGATTAAAATTCAGAAGGAATGGAGGTACCCTAAGGTAAAGGAAGGAGATGGAAAAAAATTGCTTCATTTTTTCCACCTCAACTTCATATTCAAAATCTTGTGAAGCGATGGAAGAAGAGTTCTGGTGGCAACATGGACTTCACCACGCATTGTACGAAGGCTGCCACAATCTCAACAGGCAAATAACTTTCTGAGTTGCTGATTATTGTGAGTGGTAGTGTACTCACTACAGCAGAATAATAATTCACAACGAAAGGTTTAAAACACAAAGTAAAGTTGTTGAAGTAAAAATAATCATGTCCTTGCATGACTGATCTGAGGAAAGGAATGAGGATTTTTGTGCGGGAATGTAGAGGGAGCATTTGCTCAAGTAGGTGTGTCACACTCTTTATTATTTACTACATGATACACCATCAAATAGTAGTGCAAGTTCATGTGCTTCAAGAAAAACTTAGGTGGGAGTTTTCACATGGCTTGCAAGTCTCTCAGGCAGATTAGCATAACTTCATGAGGAAAACAGCTTTCTGTGTACAGAGGTGAATGATCGTATATTATTTGTAACTGGTTTGTTGCTAAATATTATAATAATCTGCTACACTACTGCATCACCCCGTATATAAAAGTCAGCAGATGATGGTTGATTATTCCACTGAATTTTTCTTTTAATTTCATTAAACATGTAAAATTACAAATGCTGCTCTGATAAAATTCTTATAGTTGAATAGAAAGTCGTTACATCAAAATAAGAAGCTTCAATTTTAGCATTAATAATGCTGAAATGCAGCACCATCTCTGAACTAGTGATATTAACTCTAATGTAACAGAAACATGTTCAAAAATTCAAGTGAAATATCAAACTTTTGTGCAATCAAACTAATTCCCTTTATCTAAAGGCCACGACCACTTGTAATATAATGTAGGTGCATGCTTTCATAAGCCTGGACCATAAATTCAAGCCCACAAAAACAAACTGCTTTCATTCAAAATTTGTAACACTAGAACTTCTGAGGGTCATTGAGTTGTATAAAATGCTGGATTGTAGTGAGTGTTGTTGACACAAAGTTAAGAGTTGATGTGTTCTGTAAGCTTGAGGATGAGCTTTCTTCAGTGAGAAAGTACTGTGATGACCTAGTTGAAAACTGATTGACTGGGACTTCAACATGTTAATTATATACTACTCTGCACTCTACTATGCTTTAGTGTTTTCTTAAACCAAGATGAAAATGTATTAAGAGAGTACTTACCTCCTTAACTACATCAGCTCTTTCTATGAACCCAAAAGTTTCTTTCAAAGCACATACTACCCCTCGGTATCTTTCTGGTTGCGCCTTTTCTAATTGAACATTTCTTGCACGAAGGCTACCAGTTTTCTTGTCAGTTGCAATTTGAAAAGTGACTTTATCATTTGCTTTCAAAAGCTGGTTAGTAATTTCCAAATCATCTCTTGTATATGGGAGAAAAAAGCATTCACCTCTATTTTCATATGCTACTCGGCCCTATAGTAAATAAAAAGTTTCTGTAACACACGTAAATATTATTTAAAGACAAGACAAAACTGGTAAGATGCTAATTGCTCAAACACTATCAGGCATATTTCAAAGAACCAAAATCATAATTGTCATAAACTAAAAAATAAATATCTGATTCTTTACTGCATAACAAATAGCAAATCAAAACTTATTAAAGAACTACCTAACTGAACAAAATTTGTTTAATAACATTTTAAAAAACAAACATAACTGGTAAGGACAACCTTAAAAAAATTCCTATTTCTGAAATTTTTTTACTCTAACAGCATTGTTGGTAGATATACACACACACACACACACACACCATAAAAAAATAATCTAAAGACAATAAAACCGAGATGGACCTAAACAAGAGAATAAATCAATGATTAAAATTCAAGTATGCACTTTCTAGATTATTATTTTTTTTATAAGGTTATCCCAAACTAACTTTACAAAAGTGATCAATGTTTATGACAGGTAAACTTATTACCTATTTATGTTTGTGAAATTCTTCAAAGAATCACAAGTACTGTAACAGTATTGAGAACATTTTACAATCAAGGTATCTTTTATATCTTAAAATATTTTCACAAAACCATTTTAAATGTTATCCATTTAAGCAGTAACAGTTAACATTATGCTAAAAGTGATAAACATCCAAAATTATTTTAAGAACTTAATTACCCATCTACAAAACTATAATTTACAATGCTCTTAGTAGTGTAGTAACTGAACGAGTCATTCAAACTAAGGGATTTTATTTGTGATTATTATAGCTTCCACAATAAAAACAGCTAATTTTACAGAGAAAAAACACAATATCTTTCAAAATTATCAGAAATATTATTATAATCAACCTTAAATTAAGATACTGATTTAGTTTATTAACACTTATTATGTAATAAAAACATCATGGTATGAGAGCTTGTTTATTACATATTAACACAATACTAATTAATTTATTATTGTTACCACACGCTAACACTGTTTATGATAAAGTTATATATTTATACCTCAGTTCCATTACTAATTTCAGTTGTTACAAAACCAGAAACTCTGTATTCACTTAACACTTCATCAGAGATAGCTTCAGATGCAATTTTTCCCACTGAACTAGCAATAGGCTTTCCAGTTCTTCGATCATAAGTCATTTCAAACTCTACAGGATCTGTCATAAAAAAGATTAATGCTCTGTTTTAACTATAAGCACTTGTTACCTGTATAATTATCATTACTTTTAAACAAATATATTATTTTACTGGCTGAATATAACAATAATAAACACTTTAATTATAAGTTTACACAGTGATTATACAAATAAACAACTTATAATATGATAAATGAAACTTAAAAAACAAGAAGGATCAAAAATTACCTCCTATTTTCAAGTGTTCAATTTTGCCAGAAAACTGACTAAAGTGAAAAAATAGCCTTGCTTGTCTTTCACAACACTGGATGAATCCATATGAATGCTAAATAACAAAGATTCAAGAATTAAACAGGAAAAAAGTTAATTATTTATGACTATGCTTATAATTCACATCAATGACCTTGTCTTGGAAATTCATGAAGTTAGAAATTAAATCAATAAAAGGAACACTTTGTACGTTCAACAACTTATCTATACATGCAGACCCAGGTTATCCACACACTAAAATAATAAATTCAGTTTTAATTACAGATATGATTTACAAACAGATTAAGTAATATTAAGTTATGCCATAGCATAAAACAATTTCATTAGGATTATTCACAATAATAAATCTTTATTCTATGTATTATGCAAGAACACTGTTAGAATAAATACAATAGAAAATATATTTATACTGTTAAACAAATACTTTTGTTTTTTTATGAAAAACTATTATATCACTTACAGTAGTAAATGTAAATAAATTAAATCAATACACACACATTTTTGCAATAATCACTAAACAAGTATTCTTCTTATTTAAAAACAGATTAGAAGAAATACTAATTAGTTAACATGCCAGAAGTTTCTCCACAATGCCTGCCTCTCGAAGGCTACCCGATAATGTGCTTGTAGTGGTGTTGTTGCTGTGGTTGTTGGCAGTCTTACTGAAAGAAGGTGAATGCTGGTAGGGAAGTGTTGTACTGTCTTGTGTTAGCGGCTGGAAGTGCTGAAAAGTGACATTGGAACTACAAATTTACACATCATGTTACAAAGATTCTAAAAGCTGTTGCTAAATATCACAAAACAGTCTATATTAAATATTCTTAACAACACAGATAACTTATTCTTTCATTGTGTTCATTTGTTACTTAGGCAACAGCACAACCTAATAATTAGAATGAAACAAAGTACAGGGTGTCCAAAAGATTTGGAACCGTAGGTTACTTGCAGCTTTTCTTGATATCAGGTATACAACTGATTATGGCACTTTCAAAGCATGAGAAGATTGAGTTAATCCTGCTATGTGGCAGAGAAGGTTGGTACCAGCAAAAGGTTGTTGTTAAATCTAATGCACATCATCGAGAGACATCACTCACAGTGCTGTTGGGAAGTTGTTAGCTAAATTTAAGGAGACTGGCAGTGTGGACCATTGAAGATGACACAAATATGCTTCATAATGTTTAAAGAGAATGAAAATACAGTCTCTAAACTTGTTTTGAACTACAAGGACAGCATGTGGAACACATTCTGTAAAATTCGTTGAAGCTCCTATAGTTCCAAACATTTTGTACACCTGTATAACAAAAAATTCACACAAAAATTTTTTTTTGGCTTGCACAGTATTGAATGATGCTCTATATCGCATTTATTACTTCAAGACAGTTTAGAGGCAAAAACCTTTGGTGAAATAAATATGCTTTTGCATAATTTATAACAGGATGATATTTCAAGTTTTTAAAGGTATCTTTTGTTTTTTCAAAACATAACTCTTTCTAATGATTCTCTGTTTGGTGAATTTAGTTTTTAAGATACCTGTAGAAAATATATAATGTAAATCCATAAAATAAGGAGATGCAAGAATAAAAGAACTTGCATGTCAACTCGGCACTGAAAAGTAATGCCTACTATAAACTCTTCCATAAATACTCAATACTGAATATTTTGAAATTTATAAGTACTGTGACAAGTAAAATTTGTTCTTAGACATTTAAGAAGAAAAAAAAATACCTAAATGACAATTTGAGTAACCAAATAAATTGTTCATAGCTTCTAATGAATAACAAATGTAAGATCCAACTATCCTTAAAATCTAAATATAATAACCACTTTTTAAAAAATCATTAATCTAAGTTTGTAGATAACTGAAATGAATATCTATTTCTCTAAAGACACTGATCTATTTTTGTATTTTTCACTGTTGTACTAATCTTTTATTCATTGCTTCCATTCTACTGTCTCAAGCAGCAGCAGGGCTCAATTTTAACAGTCATCGAAGATGACTAAAAACTTCCTCGGACAACGAACTTAAGCCTGTGTTGCCTGATAGTCGACTGATGTCCTTGAACAGGCCCTTACTCAAAACAGCATCACAGTCTACTATACACTTATCCATACCAACACTACACACGTAATGCTGACTCTGATTCTCAATCAAAATCATTGGTAAATTCCCTGACTATGAACTTGAAAATTTGAACCCCCAACAAAAATACTTTTTTGTCCATTTTTTTTTGCTTATAAAAAGATTGTACTTTGTACATGAGAAATTTTGGTACAATCCCACAAAAGGGGGGGTAAAAAATGTTAGGAAAAGTTTGCTTTTGTGATTGGCTAATAATGATGTTTTAGTCACTCAACTTTCTATCCTGGAAAAGCCCTGCCTCTGTGCTGTTTTATGCACGTAAATTTTGTATGGAGTTCATTTGAGCACGAATGGTTATGTGTGGTAACACATTACAGTGTATAAAGCTCAGTTAGTAGCATTACCACACATTGTATTGCATGATGTTTGTAAGTAAATATATGGGAGGGCAGGAATTCACAACAAAAATGAATGCTGATTACATGAATATTTAATGAGATTAATTTCTGGTATAGATGTTTATGACAGGAAAACTAACATGGCTGTCTCAACTTCTTACTGAAAAACCTTCAGTAGGAAATAAAACAATCAAACTTACAAAATCAAACTCAGAATTTTCAATGTTAATTGTTACAGTTGAAAACCAATTGCCTTTTGATTACGCACACATAGGTTAGCTTTAGAGAGACACCACCATTTGAGTCTAGGAAATGCAAAAGGTCTAGCTACCATGAGAAAAGCAGAAAAATCCACAAATTAAACAGAGGATAATAATTACAACAAAATTTTATGAAAGTTTTGATCAGAATGAAACAGAATAACAAGAAATAAATGCAAGCTAGCTTTGCCTCTCTCTAGGTCAATACAAACAATACATATCAGCAGTGTGTGTGTGTGTGTGTGTGTGTGTGTACATGTGCAGTGCTCAGGCATTGTGTGTGTATTACAGTGTAGTAGTATGTGTGAGAATTCCGATGCAAGCCTATCTTACTACAGGCTGTACTTGGCAGACAGGCAGACCAAGCTGGTTAGAATGAAAACAATGAACATCATTGGTCACAATTGCTGTTCTGTTTAAAAGTTTTACAGATCACCGACTGTTTGTTTCCTTAAGATACTATGTAACATTAGCATGGTTTGGGCTTTTTTCCAATGTAACAAAACTTCCCGGGAAATAAGGCATCAAAAAGTAGTTGAATACAGATACAAAATTGCCAACACAAATTGTACTTTTTGAAAATAAATAAACAAGATACAAAAACATCAAAATTCTTGTAATTGGGTCTTTTTAGGGTCTTTAGATATCAATATTGTCATAATTGGATCTTTTTGGAGGGTCCATGTAGTTTTTTTTTGGATAACCAATACAACCTTCTAGACAACCTCTGATACAGGTCAGGTTGTCCAAAAAACAACCTGGACATTTTCTTAAAATCGAACCATAAGCATGTGTACAAGCACATAGGTCGAAAAAACCAAGCTAAACCATAATTTTTAGAAGTAGAAGGATAATTAAAGAAAACATCTGTTCAGGTTCATGAGTGATCAAAGTTTTACAACAAAAAGAACAGCTGAAATACAGTGTAAGGTCACTGGCATGAATTTAAATAAGTAACAAATTAAAAACTAGTAAAAAAATTAGTTCTTACTGACAAATTCAACTTGAGTAAGTTTCTAATTGTTTAAAAGACAGTTAAGTGTAACCACTGAGAATTATATGTAGATTACAGCTCCAAGTAGTACAGCAAGATATAAACCTGAACGTATCTGAATAAAGAAGGAAAAGCAATGCAAATAATTATAAAAGAGTAATAAAATGATAATAAATAACAGTAAGAAAAGGCAGCCTAATAAACCTGATGACTTAAAAGGAATTTTATAACAAAAGTCAGGTGCCTTGTACATACAACTTAGAAGTAGAGGAAAAAACAGGGATCAATATATTACATTCCCAAATTCCTGCCTGAGGAATTTCATCTTTTTAGTTGGCTTTCCTAATTGGGCATGCATGGTCCATCCATTGTCCTTTAGTTATGACCAATGAAAGTTAACATATTGTATGGATTAAATAAAAAACAATTCATGAGGAAATGTAATCTTCCTCATAGCTTTCCCTCAAGTGAATATAATTTTATTCCATTATTTCTATCCCTGAAAAAAATATCAACAATGAAACATTTTTTTCTTAAACAAGCACAAACAGCATATGAGTGCTAAAAGGTGAGAGCTTCTGGAAAAACACATTTTCCCAACAGTAGCCATGAAAATTTAGAGGAGTTAAGATGGGGAAAACAAAACAGCAGTTTACAGTAGGTATAGGAGAGTTCCCAAAGGAGGTAGAATGCAGTTCTCACAGAAAATCTAAGGAGAAAAGAAAATTAATATTGAGTGTTAGTATGATGATACAAGTAAACTTGGAAAGTATTATCTCCAGTCAAGGAAAGATCATGATAGAATATGCATACAGAAAACAAAAGATACACATAAAGGAACTGAGTGAGTAACTTGGACTCGTACTATCAAAACATTTGGCACAGAAAACCAAAGAAGCAGAAACTAGTGTTTGATAGGTGTGAAACAGCAATACTTTTTTGTAGAAAGAACATGATATGGACACATAATTGAACTACTACATGGTTCATTGTACTAAACATTCTTGTAAAACTATAACTATAATAAAAGCACTTCAGCTAAGAAGAAAGAATGAGTACTTTCCTGAAGAAACAATAGCTCTCAGTCTGATTATAATCATAATAAGATGGTTTAAAAGAAAACAGCTAAAGGCAAACCTAACAAACAGCTCCCAGCTCTAAGAGATTCCTCTGGGGAATGCACACATTAAACCATCAACTACAGATGATATACATGCAATAAAATTTCTTAAAAATTAGAAAATTTAAAAATAAAGGAGCACTTAAGAAATAAATCATAATTAAACTAGTAAAGAAAGAACACATTTTTAGGGGAAGAGTAACCCTCTGATTTTAAAAAGTTGTGCAACAATTCCACTCTTACGTTACAGTTAACATTAACTTCAGGTATAAAAATAGGTATCAAGGAAGTAAAGTCCTCTACAGAAATAAAATTTTTCCCACAGTGAGAAAAGGTAAGGGGAAAACATATCACATATCTTCATTCAACAGACAAATATATGGCCACATTTGAATATGACAAAGGTCTTAATCAAAACACCAATGTGGGTCAAAAACTTAGCAAAATGAAGTTTAGATTTCATCTTTACAAGTTAATCAGAGTAACTCATGTACTAGGTGATGATAATCAATTTCTTCTAAGAGTACATACACATTTTGGAAAGTGATATATATTGAAATATACAACCATTTACAAAGAATGGGTCCATGCCACTCAAATCTTGACCACTCAGATGTAAAAACATTGGGTGAAAAAATGCATATAATTGTTGCAATCTGTATCATAATGAAACAAGAAAACAGCCCTTCACAAGACTCGTAACTCAGACAAATGTACTAAGCCTAAATCACTATCAAATGAAGTATCTAAATTTAAGTCCTAAGCAGAAAATCCATGCTTAACTATTATTCACATCTTAACAATGTCCACTGCCTAGAGCAAGTTAAATCTGCTTCTAAGAAAACAGTTCATAGGTGCTCAACATGCAAAATTAGTCAGTCAGGAAAATACAGTATTAACTTTTGCTGTGGCTGTTTCTTTTGAAGTAAAGCAAAACAGAACATGACATAATATAACTGATGGACAACAGGTGACCATTTGGTCCTTTGAGGCTGTATATTTGCACACCAACCCTTGGGAAAAGCAAAATTCAAATCCAATTTTCAGGAAATCATCAATACCCTTTTCTTACTCTTGTAAAATGCTGGCCTCCACCACTGCCAATGGTACTTAATTCCATAAGTCTACCAACCCGCTAGAAAAATAAAACTTTTTTGAACTGGAGCTTAACTTGTCTTTTCCAAATCTTAAACTTACGTCCTCTTGTACTATTATCTTAAAAATATAGTGCAAAGAAATCAGAAGCCTTTATCTTATCAACACCCTGGATAATCTTGTAAACTATAATAATAATAATACCACCTCTTGCCCTTCTTTTCTCAAAAGAAAACAGGTTACAAGATATTAACCTATACCTATAAGATAAACCATGCCTGAAATAATCCTAATATCCCTCCTCTGAACCCTTTCCAGTAACTCAAAATCTTTTCTTAAGTGAAGTGACTAAAACTGTACATAGCATTTAAGTGATGCCTAACTGGTGATTTGTATAGAGATATCTCTTTTTGACCTGTAATTCATGTCTATAAATATATCCTAAAGTATACAACATACAGGAGTCAAGAAATATGAATGGGCTGATCAATGAAATTAAGAACTGTTTGCTTCTCTAATGGGTCTCAGACAGCAGAACTGTTAGTTGAAGATGAACAGAGGCAAATCCCATAAATGGAAACATATGAACATGCTTAAACCTTGAAATATCATGACACCAAGTGAAAGATTTAGTTAAGATACATGTAACATACTGCTTTTAATAAATATTAGCATGAACAAACAATATTTGAACTTTTATCTTAAAGCAATAAGAAAGACGTCTTCTTTAATTTTTTCTCAAACAACCAAAATTCTTACCTTCCACTGAGGACTTGACATTGTTGTTTGATTCTCAACAGTTAACTAATAATTATTCAATACTCCAAAATTGGTGGTAAAATGTCAAGGAATTTGTCACTTTTTATGCAACTCTTTTGTTCCTAAATACCTTAAGTATATTCTTCCAGGTCTAAATGCCAAGAAATAATGTTTATGTTTTTATAAAGACTTTTAAGATTTTTCTAGATTGAAGAAGTATATGCCAATAGAAGATGCCTCAGATTGTCGACAGTGTGTGCTTGAAGTGTCAGAGCTTGGGTCCTTATGGGGTACTTTCTAGTTGCTAAATGTGCTGAAAAAAATAAAATAAACAATGGTAGGTTAATATCATTTCAACTTACTGTTATAAATTAATATTTTTGCTGATAACAATTGGTCAAAGTGAAAAACTAACAACGGTCATAATTTACTATTAACTGTGCCCCAAAATTAATACCTGCATGTTACATACATGTAGAAGTTTTAAGAAAAAACATTTAGGGTCAGAGAACTGTTAACAACTTTCCAGTATAGTGGCCACCATGATGGCCAACCTTAAAATCTTGAAGGACAACTTTGCTGTTTAAAAAGTGAACAGTCAATGGTGGAATGTATGCATCATTGTAGATGTGCGTGAACTTTATCGTAACCAAGATTTCACCAATGCTAAATCTATGAAGAACAAGTAGGCTTCAGCTTGTTTCCTTAAAGTATAGAGGAACTACAAGTGACTAAATTAAGGTGTTTATAATTGTTATAAACTTTAATGATCTGTTACAAGAATTATTTCACTTTTAGGATATAAAGCTAAGAAATGGGAACTTAATTCTCTTGTGAGTAATTACAAGATTTCAAAACGAATTCCCAGACTCGTTTTCGAGGAATGTTCATTTTACCATAAAAATATACATTTATGTAATAGTTTGCTTAATGATATTTGTGTGCTGTGAATTAAAACTTTAGATTTCTGTTTAACAGGTACACAGGTAAGAAAGGCCAGATGGAATGATCCATCCCATCCATTATAGAAAACTTTAAAATAAAAACACTCAAAAGGCAGCCCTTATCATTCAAATATTTATCAAACCTTCCCTTAAACTTGCTTGAATTAACTGCATCTACCACACCTGAAGGCAACCCATTCCAAAGGCCAACCAATCTGTTAGAAAATAAAGCTGTCATTGCTGAAGATGACTCCCATTCTGCCAAAATTCATACTTGTCCCCTTGTCTTACCATTATCACCATTATGTATCAACACGATAAATTCCCCTTAACAATCTTAAACATCTACATCAGATCCCCTATATATATATATATATTCTTTTTTTCAAGAGAAAATTTC